TGATGAACTTGACCTATATTTATGACTGTAGTAGCTCAAAGTACCAACTGAGAGGAAAGGAGTCTTCACATCAAGTATCAATCCTATCCTCACTATATACACGGTAGATAGCAACTTAGGCATTGGCTACCTAAAATGAGGGCGCGATAAAGACACAAAGTGACTGGCTTACAAGTTTTCAAGAGGGAGTTTAGTTTAAGTGTGCAGGGGAAGATAGAGTCCCCACTGAATAGTTTTCATATTGTCTAGATGGGTCTGGTGAGAAGAGAGGGGATAAGATTCTTACGATTCAATACTGAGAAATTGTTATCATGACTAACTGCAACTGTCACAATTGTAAAGACAGATGTTTTAACAAAAATGAGTGAATAGTTAATCTTACATTCCAGAAACAGAGGACCTTAGGACCACCTAGAGATAAGAGCACAAACAGAGTGTGGGACCCTATCCAGAGAAGTAGCAACATCAGAGATGGAGGCAGAAATGAGGACATGGAGAGAGGGAGCGGCTGAGGACTCTGGACTCATGGAAAGAGGGACTGGGCGCGGGCAGCCAGGAGGCAGGCTTACAGAACGTGCCCTTTGGTTGTTTAAATTATTATACATTCCTGAATGTTTCTACGTACATCTCCACCCCGGAAAAAAAAACGGGAATGGAAACATATACTGTTCAATGATGATACACAGAGGAGATTGTAATCATTGCAATGAAACGATGGTGAAAAGCAGAAGTTCTCTCATGTAAACTATCACTCAGTTCACAATAAAAACTTAAAAATTAGAGTAATTTGATATTCATATTTCAGTGTTATAAGCATCTATATAATAAATATTATTATCCATTGCTAATTTTCTCATGGAATAGTCTATAAGCTGGAAGCATAGGTTCAAATAGAAAATTGTTATAAAACTTCTGCAAATTGCCAAATTGCTCTCCAAAGGAAAGTAAGCTATACATAGATAGCTGAGTGACATTATTAGACCTCTTTCTCATAAAACCATTCACATTGAATTTTCATTATTTTATTTATTGTACATGAATAAACATAAAAGCATACAAAAAAAGTGAACTACTAAAAAGCAGCAGCATGAATGACAATTTCTATTTATAAATAGTATATATATAGCACAGTACATACTTCTGAACAGGTCCAGTGTGTCTGACTTCTCGCCATTCTTCATCTGGATTAGAAGTAATGGAAAGTGAAAAGCAACCACTAGTTTGCTTCTGCAGGAAGGTGTATGTAGGCTTGGCTGCATTTACGTTTGAGGACTGACAGAAAATAGCAAGGAAAAGGTTGTCTTACAGATGCATAAATACAAACATATTAAATCTCAAAATCACAAAGTCAAAACCTAGACTTGTGAGAGAAAACAGTAATACAAGAGGAATCCACACTAATTTGTTATATCTATAGTTTCTCAATTTCTTTAATACACTTCTATAACAAAGCGGAAATACCATTTTTGATTAGGAAACATTGCTCAGAGTTTAATTTGAAGGATTATTTCCATATCTGTACTCTATAAATTATAAAGAATTTGGAAATTCTATAGCTCAAAATAAATGAAAGAATTGATAAACAGAAGGTAAAAATTAAAATTTCAATTTAGATAAACAGAATTGCTAATATAGAAACTCAATTTTTATTATTAAATGCAAAAGCCAAACAAAAAAGTTACATACATAATAGCTATGCACAATTTTTACAACAATATGCATAAAAGATAGTGATAAAATCTTTACATCTTATCCTCTACTGAAATGACTTTCTAGGGGTCAGTTCAATAAAAGAGTAACTCCAGATTATACCCTTAGATAGACAGACATAGTTACATATATATATACATGCTTATATATATGTACATATAAACAACATTATCAACAGAGAAAAGATTTAAGTTGTCAAGGATTTCATTTTTCTTGGATCAACTATCAACACTCATGGAAGCAGCAGTCAAGAAATCCAGCAATGTATTGCAAAAATCTGCTGCACTGACCTTTATAAAGTGTTGAAGAGCAAAGATGTCAGCTTGAGGACTAAGGTGCACCTGACCCAAGCCATGGTATTTTCAATAACCTCATATGTATGCCAAAGCTGGAGAGTGAATAAGGAAGACCTTAGAAGAATTGATGCTTTTGAGTTATGGTGTTGGAGGAGAGTATTGAAAGTGCCATGGGCTGCCAAAAGAACCAATAGATCTGTGTTGGAAGAAGTACAGCCAGAGTACTCCTTAGAGGCCAGGATGACGAATCTTCGTCTCTCATGCTTTGGACATATTGTCAGGAGGGACCAGTTGTTGGAGAAGGATATCATGTTTGGTAGGGTGGAGGCTCAGAGAAGACGAGGAAGACCCCCAGCAAGATGGATTGGCAAAGTGGCAGCATCAATGGGCTCAAGCGTGGCAACAATAGTGAGGTTGGCCCATGATCGGCCAGTGTTTCATTCTGCTGTGCATAAGATCGTTACGAGTCAGTATCGACTTGATGGCACCTAACAATAACGTCTATATGTACACAATAATACTTATGTCCTGGTGTGGCTCTGCGGCACGCAGCACTGACTACAAGGTTGATTTGAACCACAAGGTAAGTGGTTCAAGCTCACCAGCCGCTCCTTGGGAACATTATACAGGGTGCCTATGAGACAGAACCAACTCGACAGCACTTAATACTTAACAACAACATACATACATACATAAGAGCAAACTTAACACTGCTCTTCATGGAGGTATTTGTCATAGATATACAAACAACAGATATGTGACTAACCTCTAATAAAAACACAGGATTTTTAAACTTACTATTGTTTCCACCTTAAAATTAGTGAGGGACTAAAGTTGTCTTATAAAAGGGTTACAAAAAACAAATCTTCACTTGGCTTCCCAAATGTTACTATCTTACTCAATTTTAAAAATACATAGTACAATTATCAAAACTAAGAAATTAATATTAACATGATAAATACTATTAGTTAAATTATATATTTTACTCTGATTTCACTAGTTTTCTACTAATATAATTTTATCTGTTTTTAAGATACTATAATTCCTTGGCTATTAATAACTTAGAACCTTGGCCATGATATTTTTTAAGAGTATTAGTCAGTTACTAAAGGAGCCATGTTCATGTCATGTAATAGATTAAGTCTTGGGCTGGTAACCAGAAGTACAGCTGTTCAAATCCACCAGCTGCTCCTTGACAGAAAGATGGGACTGCTACTAAAATGATGTGCAGTCTTAGAAACCTAAGTTTCTGCTTAGCCCTATAGGATCTCAAAGTCAGAATCGACTGAATGGCAGTGGGTTTGGTCAGTTATGAATTTATCTGATTTGTCTCATTGTAAGATTAGAGATATGAATTATTGAGAAGTGACATGAAATACTCTTCTTAGTACATAATAACAAAGATTTGCATTTTTTGATATGTCTTACTACTGGTGATGTTTACAATGATCACTTTATTAAGGTGGTGTCTGTAGACCTCACCACTGTAAATTTATTATTTTCCCTTTTGTAATTAGTAATTTGGAGAAAATACATTAAGGCTATGCAAATACCCTATTTCTCTCAAATTTCACCCATTAATTTTAGTACCCATGGTGGATCCTGCCTGAAACAATTATTACTGTGGTGCTCTAAAAGTGATTTCATCTGAGGCGGCTTCAAATATTGGAACCATGGCAATGAGATGATATACGATGGAATGAATATAAAACTAAAGTTCTCCCATGTAAACTATCAGATAATTCACAATAAAACATTTTAAAAAAAAGCTCATGGAAAAATCCCAATATCTTTCAATTCCATTTTTCCATTAACTTTTTGAAGCCCTTTCATATTTACCTTCTTCCATTTACATTTATTAATTTATTATTCATAAGTTATTTACTTACATCAGAATACAATCATTTATTTTTTTCTATTCTTTGGTTATAATTTTATACTATCATTAATGATTTTGTAGCTCCACCTATTGCAGTTTTGTCTGGCATTAGGGGCTCTTTCAGATTAGTTCTTGCACCCTTTCAATAAAATGGAGCATCAAATAAAATCTACAGTCTTATTTCAATTAAAGAATTTTTACCCAATGCCCCTACAAACTATAGTAACTATACACTAACCTGAGATACTGATTTCACCTTCATTTCTTCAACAGCAGCAGTAGGCAAGGAACATGCTGAAGCACAGTAGTAATGAATAAAAGAACTCTCTTTTGAAGAGAGGCTCTGAAAGAGAGGAAGTGCCTGGACCCAAGACAATGGACAAGAAAGCTCTAATTCTCCACTGGCTGTACTTATTTCTGACATAATATCTTTTAATTTTGATTCTTCTCTTTGTGAAATAGGATTGTGCAGTTCAAGGAAAATGAATTCATTGGATTTTGCTATAAAAGAAAAAAGAAAACAATTTTTATTCATAATACTATTTTTCAAAGAAATTTTAAAGTAAGATAAAGTACTCAGTTGCTAACCACAAAATCAGCAGTTCAAATCTACAAGCTGCTCCATGGGAAAAAATACAAGGCTTTCGGTTCTTGTAAAGATTTATAGCATCAGAAACCCTATAAAATGTCGTTGTCGTGTCAGAAATCGACTGGAAGGCACTGGATTTTGGTGGGCACAGTAAGTTTGGTATATAATGCAACAAAGTATTTTCTATGCTGGAGTCCTGGTGTGTCAATGCAGATTACTGCGCTGGGCTGTAAGGTCAGTTTGAACCTCAAGGTCAGCAGTTCAAACTCACCAGCCACACCTCGGAAACCCTATACAGGGTCGCTATCAGTCAGAACAAACTCAAAAGTTCTTAACAACAACAATTTTCTCTGCTAGGTAACAACCCATGTTATCTAGCATAGCAAATTAAAATTACACAAGGGTCATTAACAGACTAGAACCAAAATTAAGAAATTTTAGACAGGAAATGATCTTTCCCTAGAGTCTTTAGAGCATGGCCCTGTTAATACCTGTGTGGGGCTGTAGGATAAGCTCTGGACTGTTAAAAACAAAGTCGGTGGTTCAAACCCACCAGTCACGCCTCAGAAACCTGCAAAAGGTGACTGAGTCAGAACAGACAGTATCCCACTTAACAACAACATTCTACTACATAAAAATGGAAATTTCACAATGGTATTGATGGTCATTCTCTCCAATGCTTGGTACAGTAAACATGTGTTAATAAGTATTAAAATAATTGAATGAGTGAAAAATTAATTTTTTCTAGCCTTCTCCATATATCAAATCTACTAACTAAGAAAGTATTCAATCAAACACCTTTTTCAAAATCACTTTCTTTCACTAATCACTGTAACATGGTCTCAAAAAACATTCTCTTTTTCTACCTTAACAATGACTACAAATGGCTTTCTATGTTTCTCCAATTAGTTTACTATTTAATCATGAACTTCTCCAATTCACTTATAAGTAATTAGGACAGGAAAACAACTAAATTTAAAGGCATAAAATTTAGTTTACCAAGTAACATCTTTAATATTCAAGGGAATAGAGGGAAGAAGTAAGAAAAAGTTACTAATTTGATTTATTCAATTCTAAAGCAAATTCCTTTATAAGTCTGAAACAAAAATCGATGGAAAATGTGTCAAGTTGCTTATATACATATAAGAGTTACAACAGCACACAGAAAAGTATGCTACCCAGGCTTAAAAAAAGAATGTGTAAGTCAACAGCTGTTGTTGTTAAGAAATAGGAAACACTGAAAGTAAAAAGAACTACATCTTACTTAACTTTGCCAATGACTACCTCTGCCACAGTTCATTATGTAACAAGAGCAAGAAACATACTATCAAAATGTATTGATCATTACCGGTGATTGGAATGCAAAAGTTGGGAGCAAAGACAAAGGATCAGTAGTTGGAAAATATGGCCTTGGTGATAATGATGCTGGAGAACGCATGATAGAATTCTGCAAAATCAATGATTTGTTCATTTCAAATAC